AACCAGAAGGCTGGCAGTTCAAACCCACCAGCCACTCCTCGGAAGGAAGGTTGGGCAGTCTATTTCCATAGACATATCACCTGGAAACCCAAGGGAGGGGTCGCTATGAGTCAGGTCTAACTTGACAGCACGTAACAACATAACAATAATAACAGTCTTATAGAAAAGATCCTTGGTGGCTCAATGGTTAAATGCTCAGCAGACATCCAAAAAGGTCATGGGTTCAAAACCCACCAGAAGCTCTGCCAGAGAAAAGACCTGGCAATCTACTCCCGTCAAGATTATAGCCTAGGAAACCCTATGGGACAGTTCTATTCTATCATAAAGAGTTGCTATGAGTCAGAATTGACTTGATGACATACACCAAATCTTGCAGAAGCAGATCACCAGGTCTGTCTTTTACAGCACTGCTGGGTGGGTTCAAACTGCCAGCCTTGCAGTTAGTAAAGTGGCCCAGTGCAAACTGTTGCAGATTGCTAGTATTCATGTAAAAGTGTAGTTGTGGCCATTTCTTAAAAACACCAGAATTTTTGTTTTGTTTTTTTTTCCCTGTGCTTGAAAAGAATCACTGAAAAAAATAATTTGTATTTTTAGGGACAGAGCAGAGTGGGCTGATATAGATCCAGTGTCTCAGAATGATGGCCCCAATCCAGTGGTCCAGATCATTTATAGTGAAAAATGTAAGTTTATTTAGGAAAAAGTCTGTAAGTCACACTTAGTAGCAAAGTTGATATGCACAATTTTGTATAACAGAAGAGATGACAGAAATTTGTCTAGTAATGGTCTGAATGACATAAAGTAAACTAATACTGTGGTTTTATATGATTTATTTTCATAATTACAAGTTTTATTGTGTTCAAAGAGTAGGCATAATCTATGTTTAAGTAATGAACGTTGCATTATAGTATACGTGGTTGTGCTGTTCGTGTACTGTTTAATTGGTAAGCTGGCTACAACGTTGAAACACGTTACTATTTCATTTACCATGAATTTTATTTGCAGAAATGGTGTTCAGATGCAATGAAGTGTTAGGCTGAGTTGGGATATATTCACTGATATCAAAATGAGTAGATTATTTTCTTTGACAAAGTATCCATTCTTTTCTAATGAATGTGAAAATGCTTTGTAAATTGAAAGTCATACAAATGTTAATTGTTCTTTTAGGAAAGGGTAAATGAATAATATGGAATGCTTGTTTTGTAAGATGTGTGTGTGTGTGTGAAAGAGAGCGAGAGCTAGCGAGCAAGAGAGAGAGAGAGAGAGATTTTTCCCTTTCAGTTAAGAGTTTGTTTCCAAGATCTTTTTCCTTTTACAGTAAAAGTGTTTGTTGTTTTCTTTGTGATCTAAATACCAAGAAATATTTGAAAAAGAAGAATAATTGTGCTTATCAAATATGACAATGTGGTACTTAATATGTAATATTGTGGAACTAGTGCAGAAATATATAGAATAACAAGGACTCTACAAAAAGATCATTATATGGGAACTTAATATGTAATATAAAGGCATTTTATATCTGCCTGGAAAAGATGGATAATCATCAGATAATGACTTTACAACAATTGACTCTGAATTTGGATAAAAGCAAAATGATATCCCTATCTCACATGTAGCATGAAAATAAATTCCAGACAAATCAACCCTTTCAGGATCCAATTGTTTTCGATTTGCATTTTTTGTTGATATCATGTATTTTCAGGAGCTCTGGTAGCAGAGTGCCTAAGGCACCTGACTGCTAACCAGAAGGCTGGTGGTTCAAACCCACCAGCCACTCCTCAGAAGGAAGGTTGGGCAATCTATTTCCGTAGTGATACTGCCTCGGAAACCCAAGGAGGGGTCCTTATGAGTCGGGTCTGACTCGATAGCACATAACAACAACAACATGTATTTTTGTTAATGGAAGTCACGCTAAATCAAGCATTTCTGTAATTTTGTTATGAAATAGGGATTTTGATACATATATTGTGGGACTTAACTTTGGAGTAGGATTATATGGGATACATATGTCCCTCTTGACTAGGGGCAGTACGGGTAGGATTAGCTTCTGGACTTGGCACTGCTTTCTTAGGGCACCTTAAAATGCAGTATTTGCACAAACATGGAATCATTGTAAGAGAGGCAACATTCAGATAATACACAGGATCCTGGAAATATACTTTCAAGGCTTACTTCCCGTTAAAGAAGCCAAAAGAGACAAAAGTTTTGCAAAATCATATCTCCAGGCTGTATCACTTCATACAATACCCTGTAAAAAACAGTTATTTTCAGCACATGCCTGTTTCTTCCATTTCAAACAGTTACAAAGGTACCCTCCTGACAGCTGTGTACACTGTCAGTGGGAAAGCAGTTGTTCAGTAAACTCCAGAGGAGGAAAATATTGGTGAATGCTATATGGCCCATAGTCATGAAAGGGTTCAACTTCTAAAACAAAACTGTAAACATAGTAGAAGTAATTATAAGACAACAACCTTTTTTTTTTTTTTTCTTGGGGTGGAGAAGGTATTAAGCCTGGTGCAAAATAGATTGGGGAATGGAGAAGGTCAGAAGATGTTACTACATAAAAATGTAAAACTTGCATTCTGTGAGAAATATCAGTGAAGAGAAAATTCACTGGAAGAAATAGAAATATAGGTATGAAAAGGTGATCAGAGAAATGTAAGTCATACTTTTTCAGATCAATAAGGTACAGTTGGCCCTCTGATCTGCAGGTTCCACATTTGAGTATTCACCCAACTGTGGTTAGAAAATACTTTTGGTGGGAGGTGGCTCCTAAAAAGCAGTTAAGTGGTCAGCGCAGTGCCCCATAGGATAAGAGAGAGCATAAAATGGCATTTGTGTAGTATTTACATCGTATGAGGTATTATAACTAGTCTAGAGATGATTTAAAGTATACCAGCAGGGTTACCCATCGTAAACAGGTTTCATTGGAGCTTCCAGAGAAAGATAGAATGAGGCCATCCACTTCTGAAAAAATTGGCCTTTGAAGACTTTATGAATAGCAGTGAAACACTGTCTGATATTTTACTGGAAAACTTTATGAAAAGCCATGAAACATTATCTGATTTAGTGCTAGAAGATGAGCTATCCCCTCAGAGTGAACTTTAATAATGTGGATAGAGTAAAGCTTTCAGGACCTTCACCTGCTGATGGAGCACAACTCGAAATGGGAAGAAACAGCTGCAAACATACATTGGAACGTAAAATACATGAAGTACAAATCTAGGAAAATTGCAAGTTGTTGAAAATGAAATGGAATGCATAAAGAGCAATATTCTAGGCATTAGTGAGCTGAAATGGACTGGCATTGGCTGGTTTGAATCAGATCATCATGGTGTACTACACTGGGAATGACAAGTTGAAGAGGAATGGCGTTGCATTCATCATCACAAAGAACATTTCAAGATCTGTCCTGAAGTGCAGTGTTGTTAGTGATAGAATAATATCCACCTAACAACGTGGTAATTCTGTGTTTTTGGAGCAACTTTTTTTATTTTTTATTTTTTAATTCTTTAGTTTTTGGAGGAACTTTCCAAACTGTTTTCCACAGAGGATACACCATTTACATTTACCTTTTTAATTGATGCTATCAGATGACCTTCTGTGGAGGGTTGTATCAATTTATACATTGCCTAACAATGTGTGTATGTAAAAACAGGACCGGAACATTGAATGTGATGTGATCTCTATTATATAAAAAATGAGAGGGTTAAATTAGACCACGCATCGAATATACTTGGATAGACTTAAAAGAATCAGTTAACGAGGTTGTTTGGTCTTTTCTGGAAGTAGAACTACCAAGTTAGTGGTATGGAAATATTTTGTTTGTTACAAATGATGTGCATACCATAAATATTTCCTCATATTTGCTTTAAAGTGTAAGTTTTAAATGCGAACGGTAGTCCTAATCCACTTATATGCTTTGTCTACAGTTAGAGATGTTTATGATTACTTCCGGGCTGTTCTGCAGCGTGATGAAAGAAGTGAACGGGCTTTTAAACTAACCCGAGATGCTATTGAGTTAAATGCAGCCAATTACACAGTGTGGTAAGTAGTTGTTATGTTGTTGTTGTTATGTGCCATCAAGTCAGCCCTGACTCATAGCGACCCCTCCTTGGGTTTCCGAGGCAGTATCACTACGGAAGTAGGATTGCCCAACCTTCCTTCTGAGGAGTGGCTGGTGGGTTTGAACCACCAGCCTTCTGGTTAGCAGTCAAGTGCTTTAGCCACTATGCTACCAGAGCTCCCGTGGTAAGTAGTACACATCATTAATATTACTTGTCTCATATTTTAGTTTGGATGACTTTTCTTAGTTGAACTTTAATTTTTAGCAAAGTAATCATTCATATATGGGTTTAAAAGCCAGAGGCTGAATGAAAAATAGCAATCTCTTCCCCATCACTTCTTACCACCAGACACCTGTTCTATAGAGACAACAACTCTTAGCTGTATTTTCTTAAGTTAATCTCTAAATCTCTGAATAATATAATTCATAATTTTTTTTTTTTCACTTCAGTTATTATCTATTCTTTCTATGGAAAGCACATGTTTTACTCTATTCTACTTTCAGAGGTGCTCTGGTGGCTCAGTACCTAAGGCATTTGACTGCTAACCAGAAGGTTGGTAGTTCAAACCCACCAGCTGCTCCACAGAAGGAAGATGAGGTATCTATTTCTGTAAAGATTTACCACCTTAGAAACCTAGTGGGGATTGCTATGAGTTGGAATCAACTCAATAGCAGTGGGTTTGGGTGTTTTTTGTGTTTTTTTATGAAGATATTAATAAGAAACTTGTTTTATGTGTGAGTAATATTTTTGTGGGAGCTCTGGTAGCATAGTGGCTAAGACACTTGCCTGCTAACCAGACGGCTGGCGGTTCAAACCCACCAGCCACTCCTCGGAAGGAAGGTTGGGCAATCCTACTTCCGTAGTGATACTGCCTCGGAAACCCAAGGAGGGGTCGCTATGAGTCGGGGCCGACTCGACGGCACATAACAACGACAACAACAACATTTTTGTGATAGTTTTGAAAGAAAAATATTTTGATGTTTACAATGGAATTTATTATATGAATAATGTCTCTACATGAATAAGCTTATACTATACCAGTATAAGAATCTCTTCTGATTCTTATACTGTAAAACACTGATAACCATATCAAAACCAAAACAAACTCATTGATGTCCAGTCAATTCCCACTCATGACAATCCTATAAGACAGAGTAGAATTGCCCCAAATTTCACAGGCTTTGCAGAGTGGCTGATGGGTTCGAACTGCTGACATTTTCGTCAACAGCCAAACACTTTATCCATGGAGCCAAAGTATTTTTTCATTCCTTAAAGTTGCAGAATTTACTTTTCTGTCTCATATTTTTGCCTTTCACTATTTTTACTTCGGAATGCTTGATTGTTTCAAGCACTGGATAGTTGTATGAATTTGGAAAATCACAGGCAATTAAATTGCCAGATTACAATTACGGAGGATATCAAAAAAAAAGAATGCCAAAAGAAATTTTGTCTAAATATTGTAGATTTATTTTTTACTGTTGCTAGACAATTTATGTGGAGTGATGAGATTTTGACTGCTTGATATTTGTTTGCTATAGGCATTTTCGGAGAGTTCTCTTAAAGTCACTTCAAAAGGATCTACATGAGGAAATGAACTACATCACTGCAATAATTGAGGAACAACCCAAAAACTATCAAGTTTGGTAAGATAAAAATCAGAAGGAAATATTTACAGTGCTAGTAGTAATTGTCAGTGGGTGGTAAGATTACAGGAAATGTTTGCTTGTTTCTTTATAATTTTAATAGTTTACAAGGAGTTAATAGTGCCTACCTCATAGGGTTGTGAGAAGGATTAAATGAGATAGTTTTATGTTTACTGCTTAAAATGGTGTCTGACCTATGGTTAAACCAAAAAAAACAAACCCATTGCCATCAACTTGATTCCAACTCACAGCAGCCATATGAGACAGAGTAGAATTACCCCATGGGATTTACAAGGCTGTAAATCATTACGGAAGCAGACTGCTTCATCTTTCTCCCATGCAGCAACTGGTGGGTTTGGACTGTTCACCTTTTGATTAACAGCTGAATGCTTTAACTATTGAGCCACCAGAGTGCCTAACACATAGTTAGCATTCAATAAATCTTAGCTGCTGTAATTAGAATTTCAATGTAAGTATGTAATAAAATCAGAAAAAATTTTGAATAGAAAATGGAAAAAAAATGTTTTTTAGTGCTTAAAAATGACTTTCTGGTATTTAATCTTATATTCATTTGTTTATTAAAAAAATCATCGATGCTTAGGATACAAAGATGAATCAGGTACAGTCTAAAGGGGGAGAACAAATAAAATCAGTTATTTTACAAATAGTATAAAAAGTATAATGGTAAAATTTTTCACAGGATATAGTTGTTTAGAAACTAAGTATTTAAATTAGCATGGACAAGTAAATGAGAGTAGTGAGGATTATTACGGTTGTAAGTGGTAGAATACAAATGAAAAAGAAGATACAGGAACATGAACAGGACAGGGCACAAATAGAAAAGAAACAAAGACAATGCTTCTGTAAAGATTTGAACAATACCTAGCATATAGTGAGCATTGTATGAATGGTAGCTGCTGTTGCTACTACTCTTGTAGTGGTGGTGGCAAAGTAGAAGAGGCAACATGGAGTACCCCTAAGAGCTGTCTCAGCTTGCTTTGCCACTGGCTATTTGCCAGTGTCACCATTTTGTCTTTTTCAAACATAATGACCTATTGATGAGCTTTTCTGCCTTTCTTCCTGAGATTTAAGGAAGAGTTATGATAAGAATGAATGCTAAGGCAGGGAAAATATTCTGGGCAGAAGCATGAAAGAGGATGGTACACTCAGACAAGTGCATATGTTTCTGAGATTAGAGTACATCTGGGGAACCATGTAAATAACATTGGACACATAGGCAGGGATAAAATTACAAAGAGCCTCATGAATGTTAATAAGGAGTTTGAACTTGATCTTAGTGGCACTGGAGAGTTTGTGAGAAATTTTAATTAAAGAATTATGATTAGGGTTGTATCTTAGAAGGTTTACCCTTAAAACAGGGTAGGAGGTGAGCCAGAGTAAGTTCACAATCCTGGAAGCTGGCAGGCCCTTACAGGTGGTGTAGGTTAGAAGAGATAAGACTTCAGCTGTTGTCGGCGTATAGGAAAGGTAAGGACAAATTTGAGAGTGGTCTAGAAGAGAGAAGCAATAGGCTTTAGAGTTTAATTTATTGGAGTAGTGACAGAAGAAGAGTGTTTTGTTGTTTGGCTTGACAACTGGTTAAATGATGCCATCCACTTGGAACATTTGCAAGGTAATGCAACACGTTTTTGGGAAAGAAGTATAGATTCAGTATTGGACAAGTGGTGTTTGATATGCCTATGGGAAAACCTATGTAAAGCTAGCTGTCCAGTAAGTGGTTGAAAATTCTGTTCTGGAGTAGAGAGCAGTGTAGGTTGAAGACGAGATTGAAGAGTTGCCCTCTTTCTGGATGTGATGGTGGCATTCATAGCTGTGAAGGAGGATGCTCAGGGATAATTAGAGGAGTGGTCACAGATAGAACGTCGGTGATCATCATTTAAGAGCATTATTTGGCAAATCAGGAAAATGGTAGCTACAAATTTTCAGTTGCTAGAATTTCAGTTCAACAGTTTTATCACAGAAATGTCTGTTTATAACTGGATTGTTAGATTTCTAAGAAATTACATTGTAAAATAATTGTTGAGTGGTAAAAGAGATTAGCTTGAATGCTTGAAACACTCAGTAAAAAGCCATTGTTCATGTTAAATTTCAGTGATAAAGGTTTTCACATAAAAATCTAAACCCATGAGCATTTTCAGCATTTGATTATATTTAATTTTTGCTAAAGAGAAATATCCTTTCATTTCTGGACACTGTAGACACTGTCATTAATACCTCATTACCCATTGTTAGCAGAAAACAAAACAAAGCTACTTAAAGAAACTGCTGTTGAAAACTCAGCAATTTTTAAATTTTAGTAGATTTAAAATTGCTAGTTGCTCTTACAACCAGTATGGTATGAGTCATGTAAATTCTGTATCTACTGAATTGGTCACTTTTTATTATATTATCAATATGAAAACTCATGCTGTAAGGTAAGCACCTATATATAATACTATTTAAATTACAAAACATCAGAGAGAACTCTTAGTACATTGTTGTTAGAAATCAGATAGACATACTGTGTTACACTGGGTTCTCTAGAGAAACAAAACCAGTAAAGCTCATATATATATGTATATAGAGAGAAATTTATCTTAGGAAAATGGCTCACACATTTATAGAAGCTCGCAACTCCAAAGTTCCTGGATCAAATGTCAAGCTGGAGGCTTTTCCTGACTCTTGCAGCCGCAGGGGCTGAGGAGCTCAAGGTTGGCAGGCAGTACACTGGCAGCTGACTCCAACAAATGACGAACCCAAGATCTCCAGGCCGAATGGTGGATTGTTCACTCACGGACAGTTGTAGGCAGCACAACAGAATCCTGATCCCCAGAAGAATGTCTCTTTTCTTGGAATGTCCATAGATATACTGGAAGCAGGCCACACCCCTAAGGAAACTCCCTGTCAACAGACTGCCTGCTCAAAACATAATCATCTGATCCCATCATGGGAGTAACTACATCACAACAGCTTAAACCATACTGAATTGTGGTCCAGCCAAGTTGACACACAGCTCCAACTATCATAGTCCACCCTTTGTCAACTAGGCAGTTGTACACATCTTTTTAACCATATATAATCCCTAAATAAGAACAATTATAAAGTCATATTTGCACCTAACATGATACGCTAACACATGTACAACCAAAATGCATTAACCTTATTTACATTTCACAGTTCATAACAGAAGGAAACAAAAATATTTGATGTACATATACAATGAAGAAATATAACAATCACAGTCCTCATTTCTGCAGCTGGTCATGTGGTCGTAGCTGATATTCAGAACTACCTTCTTCCACCACCCATTCTGTGTTTCCCTTGCCCTCAGCAAGCACCACAGCTGGTCGTGGTTCTTTGCCTGGTGGGGTGAACCAAACCTTCATTCCTGAAGGGTCTGGGCCGTTAGCAGTCATATCACAATTGGGTTGCTGTAATTTTCCATTGACTTTAATCACAGGGCATGGTAGTACTAAGAGACGTCCTAAAGACTCTCCTGTATTCCACACATATTCTTCTTTATCTCCATTATGTAAAGCTAATCCAATTTCCCCTTGGTAATCAGGATCTATCACACTAGATAGTACAATAATGCCCTTCTTTATCTGTTGATCAAGAGGCATGAAGAAGCCAAAATGGCTGGGTGGCATTCTTAATTTCCAGTTCAGTACAATCAGTATTGTGTCTCCAGATGGGAATGTTCTTCCCTTTGGGACTAAGATCTCCAGACCCGCAGAGCATAGGGTAGCAGGGACAGGAAGCAAAAACTTTTGAGTGGGTCACTAGGGGTAATAGTGAGTGGTACCACTCCTGTTTCCACCCCTTGGTTCTTGGACCCATGAATCCTGGCTATTGGAGAAACAGAACCATATATTGGATGCTGATTTAGAGCATCTCCTAGAGAACACTGCCCCAACCCTTCAAGGTATTGTCACCTAGCTGGCACCGTGTTTGTTTTTAAGAGGCTGTTCCATCATTCTGTCAAGCCAGCTGCTTCAGGATGATGGGGAACATGGTAAGACCAGTGAATTCCATGAGCAGAAGCCCATTGCCACACTTCATTTGCTGTGAAATGAGTCCCTTGGTCTGAAGCAATGCTGTGTGGGATACCATGACAGTGGATAAGGCATTCTGTAAGTCCACGGATGGTAGTTTTAGCAGAGGCATTGTGTGCAGGGAAGGCAAATCCATATCCAGAATAAGTATCTATTCCAGTAAGAACAAAACGCTGTCCTTTCCATGATGGAAGTGGTCCAGTGTATTCAACCTACCACCAGGTTGCTGGCTGATCACCCCGAGGAATGATTCCATGTCGCGGACTCAGTGTTGGTCTCTGCTGCTGGCAGATTGGCCATTCAGCAGTGGCAGTAGCCAAATCAGCCTTGGTAAGTGGGAGTCCGTGTTGCTGAGCCCGTGCATAACCTCCATCCCTGCCATCATGGCCACTTTGTTCATGAGCCCATTGAGCAATGACAGGAGTAGCTGGGGGAAAAGAATGGTTGGTTTCCACTGAACATGTCATCCTATTCACCTGAGTGTTAAAGTCCTCCTCTGCTGAGGTCACCTTTTGGTGGGCATTCACATGAGACACAAATACCTTTACTCTTTTGGCCCATTCAGAGAGATCTATCCACATACCTCTTCAACATATATCCTTATCACCAATCTTCCAGTCATGCTCCTTCCAAGTCCCATACCATCCAGCTAAGCCGTTAGCCACAGCCCATGAATCTGTATATAATCACACATCTGGCCATTTCTTATTCTGTGCAAAGTGAACAGCCATATGCACAGCTCGAAGTTCTGCCCATTGGGAGGATTTCCCTTCACTGTCCTTTAAGGAAGTCCCAGGAAGGGGCTGCAGTGCCGCTGCTGTCCACTTTTGAGTGGTGCCTGCATATCGTGCAGAATTATCTGTAAACCAGGCACGAGTTTTCTCTTCCACAGTCAGCTGATCATAAGAAACTCCCCATGAGGCCATAGGTGCAGAGTGGGAGAGG